GTTTTGGCCAAAACCATTACAGTCGTCCTAGCCTTTTTGGCCACCAAGCCAGGAAACACAATGAGGAAGTGGCTAGGAAAAGGTCTGGAGAGATCAGCCATTGTCCTTGGCTCCTTCATCCAAATTGTTATCTGTGGGGTGTGGTTGATCATATCTCCTCCCTTCCCAGAATTAGACAAGCATTCACAGGTTGAGGAAATTATTGTGCAATGTAATGAAGGTTCGGATAACATGTTCTATATTGTCCTGAGCTACTTGGGATTGCTGGCCACCATCAGTTTCATTGTGGCATTCTTTGCAAGGAAATTACCAGACACTTTCAATGAAGCCAAGCTCATCACATTCAGCATGCTTGTATTTTGCAGCATTTGGGTGTCCTTCATCCCAGCCTATCTGAGCACCAAGGGAAAATACATGGTGGCTGTGGAGATCTTCTCCATCTTGGCTTCTGCTGCAGGCCTACTGGGTTGCATCTTTCTCCCCAAGTGCTACATCATAATCTTAAAGCCACAACTTAACACAAAGCAACATTTGACCCGAAGATAATTTAATGGTTGAATTCAATTTGAATTCATATTCTATTTTTCAGCCTTTTAGTAGTGAACCTGGGTATCCATGGGGAGAATCTGAATATTCAATATATTCAGTCATAACTCTGCAATCAAACCCTGTTTTGAATGAATAGTTTATATCTATGGAGTTCTGTTACTGTGATTTCTCATTACCTTTTATTCATTTCCATCACTCATTTTTTTCAGGAATCTGGTGGTGAGCCCCCTTTCACTTTTCAGATATCTTTTGCTATTAGCATATTATAAAATCAGCAAGGCACACACAAACAGATGTTCAATTGAATTTTAACCTTAATATGAAAAACATCAAATTTCACTTTTGAATTATAAACTGAGCACCTCCCTGAAGCATGTTAATCACCAAGAATATACTTCAGTTGTGGGCAATCCTGACTACTGTGTTTCCCCAAAAATAAGGCAGGGTCTTATTTTCTTTTGAACCCCCAAAATAAGCCCTTATCCTTATTTCTGGGGAGGTCTTATTATTTTTGAGGTGCAAGAGGCGGCAAGCTTAGTCGCTTCATCGCTGCTGCTGTGTTTCAAAATTTTCATGGAGGGCTTATTTTCAGGAGAGGCTTTATTTTAATGCATAAGCTCAAAAGCCCGACTGGGTTTATTATCCAGGGAGGTCTTATTTTCAGGGAAACAGTGTACCATTTAACTAGATCATTTGCTCTCCAATTAAGTTGACTCTAGGAGTCAACCTGATAAACAATGAAGTCACTCATGATGTATTCAATGGAAGCCTTTTCCATTGAAAAAATGAATAAGAAGAAATTTTACAAAGGCTTAAAAGACCATTGCAGCGGTTGAAACACTTTTAATGCTTGTATCAACTGATGTCCCTGTTTTACACTCTCTTCTGGAAGTTAAGGAGCTAGTTGGAACTCAGTGAGTTTCTTTTCGACTGTAGGGGTATGTCAATTACAGGTACAGAAAAAGTTCTCGTGAACCCCCAAAGCACCTTTCCAGAGAGGATACTTCCAACCTTGCAAGGTTTCACCGTTTTGGCACTGATGTCTATGAGCCATGGTAGTGCAATGGTTAGAGTGCAGTACTGCAGGCTACTTCAGCTGACTGTTATCTGCAGTTCAGCGGTTCTAATCTCACCGGCTCAAGGTTGACTCAGCCTTCCATCCTTCCGAGGTGGGTGAAATGAGGACCCAGACTGTGGGGGCGATATGCTGACTCTGTAAACTGCTTAGAGAGGGCTGAAAGCCCTATGAAGCGGTATATAAGTCTAACTGCTTTTGCTATTGCTATTGCTATTCAAATCTCACTAGGCTCAAGGTTGACTCAGCCTTCCATCCTTCCAATGTGGATAAAATGAGGACCCAGATTTTGGTGGCAATAGGCTGACTCTGTAAACTATTTAGAGAGAGCTGTAAAGCACTGTAAAGAGGTATACAAGTCTAAGTGCTATTGCTTGTTATCTGGATAATTCTGTTGAGTCATTAAAGTCTGATAATGTCAGATCTAAACCCAAAGAGGACACAATTCAATCAAGTCCAATTTTTATGTGGCTGTACCTAATAGACAGCATTTTTACACCCTGCTCAGGCAGAAAACCCTATACCACTTCAGACCAATGGTTATCTAACATCTTTTTTTAAACTTCCAGTGTTGGGGCATTCAAAACTTCTGGAGGCAAGCTGTTCCACAGATTAATTGTTCTAACTGTCAGGAAATTTCTCCTCAGTTCTAAGTTACTAATCTCCTTGATTAGTTTCCACCCATTGCTTCTTGTTCTACCCTGAGAGATGCCTAGCAGATCACTATTCTAATGCAAAAAAGAACCAGTTCTTTCCCAAATATTTCATCTATTTATACTTTGATGAAGATATGGGAATCACCTTTATTTCCTTTATTCTTTTTGTTTTGGCAATATTCATTTTAGCGGGAGTGACTTTCAGTCTGCACTGGGATACCCCCATTGTCAAAGCCAAAAGTAAAAATACCACAAGCACCCTTTTTTCCTCTCTCTTGCCTTGCCTTCTCTACTGACTGCTTTTCTCAATCTCATTTCGTGTGTCTTGGCCAGATCCATCACTATCATTCCGTCTTTTCTGACTACTAAGCCAGGAAACCAGATGAGGAAATGATTAGGAAAAAGATTGGTAGGATCCAGCACTTTCTTCTGATTTGTAGTCAAGCTGTTACCTGTGTGGTATGGTTGGTCATGTCTCCTCCCTTCCCAAAGTTGGATATGCATTCACAAATTGATGAGATTATTGTGCAATGTATCAAAGTCTCAGATTTCATGCTCTACATCGTCCAGGGCTTCTGGGAGCTAGTGGCCATTACCAGTTTCACTGTGGCTTTCTTTGCAAGGAAATCGCCTGATACCTTTAATGAAGCCGAGCTAATCACCTTTAGCATGCTTGTGTTTTTGTAACATTTGGGTGTCCTTCATTCCTGCCTATCTGAGTACCAAAGAGAAATATATGGTAGTTGTGGAGATCTTCTCCATCTTGTTTCTACTGCTGGCCTAATGGACTGAATTTTTCTCCATAAGTGCTACATCATTTTTTTGAACCCACACCTCAACACAAATATAATATAACAAGGAAGACAGTTCAATGATTAAATCCAATGTATTATACAGCCTAAGCATCCATTGTTCAATTCAAATATTCAATGTGGCAACCCTAATCGTGAAATTGATTCCATTCATATCTGTATTCTTTGTGTGTGCAATGACATAATAAAACTCAGACTTTGATAGCTAAATCATAATTGTTATAGTGATTCTTTTAAAAAAAAACTCTAGTAATGGTGATCAAGATTTTCCAAAAGGATTCATGTCTTCAATTATGTGTTGAGGAAACAGCATTCTTGCTTAAAAGCCAGAATCACTATGCTGTTAAATATGGTTTTCCATTAAATAACCAGCTTGTTTGGACCATAGCCATACATACCATATTTTTCGGAGTATAAGATGCACCGGAGTATAAGACGCACCAAGGTTTTGAAGAGGCAAATTTAAAAAAATTAAGTAGGTAGATAGAGGGATAGACAGGGAGAGAAAGAGAGAAAAATACAGTAGGTAGGTAGGGAGCGAGAGAGTAGTTAGGTAGGTAGATAAAGGAATAGAGAGAGATATATAAATAGAGAGAGAGTTTGTGTGTAGATAGGTAGAGGGATAGAGAGAGAAAAATGGAAAGAGAGAGAGAGAAATAGATAGGTAGGGAGAGAGAGTAGGTAGGTTGGTAGGTAGGTAGGTAGTTAAAGGGATAGAGAGAGAGAAATAGAGACAGAGAGAGAGAAATAGATTGGTAGGGAGAGTAGTTATGTAGGTAAGTAGATAAAGGGATAGAGAAATACAGTAGGTAGGTAGGGTGTGTGTGTGTGTGTGTGTGTGTGTGTTGGTAGGTAGGTAGGTAAGTAGGTAGGTAGGTAGGTAGGTAGGTAGGTAGGTAGGTAGGTAGAGGGATAGAGAGAGAGAAATAGAGAGAGAAATGCAGTAGATCGGTAGGTGTTTCTGCTGGCACAGCACTTGATCAATGTAATTGTCATCAATCAGTTAAAGAACTTTCCAAAAGGGGGGAAAAAGTGTTTGCACTCAGCCCGTTTTTCACGGAAATGGGTCCATTTTTTTAAAAAAAGGCATGAATAGCCTTAGGGGGTCTTGCAGAGTGCTCCTCGGGGCATGGGCCCCAAAAAACGAGCAAAAACACCCAATTTTTCATGAAAACAGGCACATTTTTTGTCCAAAAAAATTGCATGCATAGCCTTATGGAGACTTATAGAGTGCTGCTGGGGGCTGGGAGGGCAAAAAAACAGCCTGTTTTTTGCTCATTTCTGCCCTCCCCAGATCCCAGGAGCTCTCTGAAAGCCTCCATAAGGGTATGCACAGCCATTTTGGTGAAGGGGCGAAGCTTAAGGAGGCAAAAAGAAATGATGTATTCAGTGTATAAGACGCACCCAGATTTTTACCCTCTTCTTTGAGGAAAAAAGATGCGTTTATTCTCCGAAAAATACGGTAACTATTGTTTTGTTGCTGGAGGAGCAAGATTGGGTCTTGTAAAGCCCTTTTATCATTGTGCTATATGTTTATTAGTAATCTGTGGAGAATTGTGGAGAATCCTATGGTTGCCATGATGTAAAAAAAGATGTTGAGACTCTAGAAAGAGTGCAAAGACAGCAACAAAGATGATTAGGGGACTGGAAGATAAAACACATAAAGAATGATTGCAGGAATTGGGTATGTCTAGTTTAATGAAAAGAAGGACTAGGAGAGACATGATAGCAGTCTTCCTTATCTTAGAGGCTGCCACAAAGAAGAGGGATCCAAGCTATTCTCCAAAGCAATGGGTGGAAACTAATCAATTTATTTTTAGATTTAGAATTTAGAACTGAGGAGAAATTTCCTGACGGTTAGAACAATTAATCAGTGAAACAACTTGCCTCCAGAAGTTGTAAATGCTCCAACTGGAAGTTTTAATAAAGAGGTTAGATAACCATTTGTCTGAAGTGGTGTAAGGTTGGACTAGAAGACCTCCAAGGTCCCTTCCAACTCTATTTATTTTATTCTAATTATCTATTAGTTTTATATTTCACTATTTTACTAAACTAATTTCTGTATACATAATTGAATTTGTTCAGTTTTGTTATGATTGAGGCAACATAGAAATACATCATGTACATACATGCACACAGAAAAAGGGCTTTGGCGAAGTAGATGGCTTATGTCTAATACTCTGTGACTGTGACTTTTCAATGCCTTTTTACACTATCAGAGCCTTATCCCCATTACTTCCTCAAAGGGGTGGGCTTCAAAAATTTTAGCAAAGGATTCTCTGCCTGGTTGCTGGGTAGGCATGACCATGGTGGGCGTGGCCTAGTTGGCCTCCTGCACCATGGCCGGGGGGGGGGCAGATTGCGAGCCTCCACGAGGGCAAAAATGGCTTCCCCGAGCTTCAGAGGCGCTCCGGAGGCCAGCAATGGGCCCATCTCCAGCCTTCCTTAACTTCCTGTAGGCCCATTTTTTCACCTTCCCTGAGCTTCCATGTACACCCTGCACTTACCTGCATCCAAAACAGACCGCATGGGGACTCCTGGGAGGGATGGGGTGAGGTGGGCAGGGCCAGCCAGGAGTTGGATTTGGGAGTTCTCCAAACTGCACAGAATCTTAGCTAGAGGTTTTCCCGAACCCCTGCAAACCTCCAGCAGCCGACTCCTGCTTCCTCAAAATATTTCACAGATCAGAGTATGAGCAACTTTAAATTTTTGAGAACTCATTTCCCATCCTACAAATATTAGCATGGTGACATGCAAAGAGATATATTCAGACACACATGTTCAAGCAAATGAATTCTAATTTAAGCAGGAACAAAATTAATTTTGAACTGGAGACTTACCTAAAGGGTTCCTCCAAGTAAAACAACCTCCATGAACATACAGTATGTGAATTGTCAGTGTTCCTATCTCCCAGCTAATCTTTTCATTTGGTATCCCATCATTTGGTCAATCCAAGGAGTCAACCTAATAGGCAATGAACTTAATCATGATGAAGTCAATAGAAGCGCTATCAATTCCTTTGGCATTTTGCCAACGTTGAGTAAGAAGATTCTACATTTCCCCCTCTGATGTAAATTCATGTTGGAATCATCTCACATATCTGAATTCAAGCACAGAATAATAACAGAGTAATAGAATAACAAGATTGGAAAGGACCTTGGAGGTCTTCCAGTTGAACCCCCTGCTCAGGCAAAAAAAACCTTATACCATTTCAGACAAATGGTCATCCAATCTCTGGTTAAAGAACTTCAGCCACAACTTTCAGAGGCAAGTCATTCCACTGATTAATTGTTCTGTCAGGAAATTTCTCCTTAGTTCTAGATTGGATCTCTCCTTGATTAGTTCCCACCCATTGCTTCTTGTTCTACCCTCAGGTGCTTGGAGAATAGTTTGACTCCCTCTTCTTTGTGGCAGCCCCTGAGATATTGGATCACGGCTATCATGTCTCCCCTAGTCCTTCTTTTCCTTAAACTAAGCATAGCCACTTCCTGCCACCATGTTTCAGAGAGGTGAAACATAGTTGTTTTGATTACTATAGGACAAATAATGTCTTACAGGAATTGCCCAAAGAACAGTTATGTTAGCATAGATGCTTCCAAAGTTGGAATCGTGATAAGGTGGTTTACCTGATTCTGTGAAGTTTCTTGAGCAAAGAGGAAACCAAAAAGACTTGTGTTCTGGCCAACTGCTTCTCCCGAGAAAGCCTGCAGGACAGTAGTGGGATTAAAAAAAAATTACTACTGGTTTTGTGGGCATGGCTATGTGGCATAGCTTGGTGGGCATGGCAGGGGAAGGATACTGTAAAATCTCCATTCACTCCCGATGAGGTGGGACTCGGGTGGCAGAGAATAGATGGAGTCAGAGGTGGTATTTACTGGTTCTCCAAACTACTCAAAATTTCCACTACTGGTTCTCCAAAAGTGGTAAGAGCCTGCTGAATACTACCTCTGCTGCAGGAACTGTAAAAGACTTTGTTGACACCATGTGAGGAAGAACACTGAGAAGCAAAGAAGAAAGATTGGACTTGCAGGCTCAGCAGGAAGGAAACAGGAAATGACCAAATCAAAATAATTTTGGATTTTATTTTATGTTTCTAGGAATTAAATAAAGCAATTGTATATAAATTCCTGGGAAGATCTAGAGCAGCGATGGCAAAACGTTTTTGGCTTGTGTGCCAAAAGGGGGGATGCGCAGTGGGGTCATGCGTGGGTGTGATGCACCCATAATGCAATGTGCGACACACCCCCTACGCATGCGCACATGAGGCGCAACCCCCCCATTTTTTGCATGCTTTTTTCACCTTCCTCAGGCTCCAGAGGCTTTATAGGAACCTGGGGAGGGCGAAAACAGCCTCCCCCGCCCCCCCCCCGGAAGCCTTTCAGAGGCTTCAAGGACTTGGAAGTGACTTCCGATTTGCTCATAGGGTCACTTTTAGTCCTCCAGAAGCTTCACGGAATCCTCCTAAAGGTCCCTGAAATCTCTGGACGGCTTAAACGACCCTACAAGCAAACCGGAAGTCTGTTCCTGAACTTCTGGTTTGCCTATAGGGCTGTTTTTTTGCATTCTGGGGACTTCAGGGAAGCTCCTGAAGCCCCCAGAGGGTCTCTGGGGAAAGGATCTTTTCACCCTCCCCAGGCTCCTATAATCCTCTGGAGCCTGGGGATGGAAAAAATGGCTTTTAAAAAGGCTGAATTCAGCTGGCCAGCACACACATGCACGCTGGCCAGCTGACAGGGCAATGCCTCATGTCCCCTGACAAATGGCTCCACATGCCACCTGTAACACACGTGCCATAGGTTTGCCATCCCGGGTCTAGAGTTTAGGCTCTTTAAGGAAAATGTCTGGTGAAATAATAAAGCAATAATCAAATGTTGCAGACATGGAATGTAGTGGTATATCCATTTCAACATTAAAAGAGGAACAATTGAATAGTGTGTTTTCAATGACGTTTAATCACCAGCAGAGGCATTTACTCATTTATTTGCTTTTTAAAGATAAAGATAGAAGTTGTGAGTGAGCGTTCAAAGTCCTGTACTTTATAAAATGTACCACACATATGAAGCACACAGTAAAGGCATAAAAGTTTTTATTTCATAGTTGTAGCTGCCACATTGAATTCTTCAGATTTCCCCTTCGGATGATTCAGGAAAATGCTGTCTGATGCTATGTGCATATAGAAATTAAACCGTTCTCTTGGACAAATGTTCTTTTGTGTTTAGATGTGGCTTCAGGAGAATAATGTAGCACTTGGGGAGAAAGATGCAACCCAGTAGACCTGCAGTAGAGGCCAAGATGGAGAAGATCTCCACAGCCACCATATATTTCCCTTTGGTGCTAAGATAAGCTGGGATGAAGGACACCCAAACGCTGCAAAACACAAGCATACTGAAGGTGATCAGCTTGGCTTCATTAAAGGTATCTGGCAATTTCCTGGCAAAAAAAGCCACGGTGAAACTGACACTGGCCAGAAGTCCCAAATAGCTCAGCACGATATAAAACATGAAATCAGCACCTTCGTTACATTGCACAATGATCTTATCCATCTGGGATTGCATGTCAAACTCAGGGAAGGGAGGAAATGTGGTCCACCACACTACACATATAACAACTTGAATGAAGGAGCAGATGACAATGATGGATCCTGCCAGTCTTCTTCCTAACCACTTCCTCATTTGGTTTCCTGGCTTAGAGGCCATGAAGGCCAGAACCACCGTGATGGTTTTGGCCAAGATGCAGGAGACAGAAATGGAGAAAACTGTGCCAAATATTGTTTGCCTGAGAAAGCAAGTCACCTCCCCTGGCCAGCCAATAAATAGCAGTGAGCAGAGAAAACAAAGGAGGAGAGAGGAAAGAAGGATGCATGTGATGTTCCTGTTGTTGGCTTTGACAATGGGGGTGTCCCAGTGCAGAATGAAAGTCACTGCCACTAAAATGAGAATTCCTGAAAAGAAAAGAGTCAAGGAAGTCAGTGTGACTCCCAAGGATTCACTGTAGGATAAATAACTGAAAGTTTTGGGAAGACACTGCTCTCTTCTTGCATTTGCATACTGATCTTCTGGGCACCTCTCACATTGGTCTGCATCTGAAATACATGGAGAAGGTTTTTATCATTTCCAACCATTTGGAACATTTTGCAAATTTTATTTAGAGAAATCATTTCTGTTGAAAATATTCACATACCCCATTCCACTTACATAGTAGTGCTAATCCTTAGCAATAAACTATTCCAGCATACCTCCTGGCCCCACCCAGGGTAGAATAGCAAAATCTATTCCCCCACCGTATAATATTTTTTTTACTTGCCAATTTGGATAGAAATTCTTCCTTCGGAGCATTTGGTGCAAGTGTAGCAACAAATTTGTGCCCCTTCTTGAACGACTTTCATGAATCCCTGGTGGCAGCTCTTAACACATCTGGAATGAGGAGGTACCTAGAAAAAAAATGAAATTTTTGTGGAATTTAATAATAGTTTTTGGAAATACATAACCTTATTTGTAGTGTATTAGTTTACGAAGTTCAGGGAGTGAGAAATCTTTTTTTGAGCTCAAGAAATCTGAATATAGACATGTTTGTCTGAAATGTTTGAAGTTTAATGCAAACCCTTATGGGATGCATCATACATTTTCCTCAAACCATGTCCAGGCTCATCGTTTTTACAAGATTCTTGAATGTGTTTTCGGAATAACAATTGGCTGTGAGATTACTACTATTATTCATGTTCAGCGCTTTTATTGATTTTTCAATAACCTGTTAAGAATTACTGAAATGATTCAGGAAGAATGGCATAATGAATCTTATTTTATACATTTCATTAATTTTATAATCCAGGAAATAATGAAATTTAAATGTTATGACAATTATAAGGTATCTCTTATTTTACTGATATTTTATTCCCTTTACAGTATGAATTTTTGTTTTACATTGTTCTTTTACATATTCATGCCCAAATATTGCATTCTTATGTCCTATAAATTCCAAAATTACATTAAACAAATATCTTCTGATAAATATCTTCCAAAAGAAAAATGCAAATATTCCCCAAATCCTAAGATTCCAGGACGTAATCAATACTCTTCACTGGGTTAAAAACTTGGCTATGCAATAGAATTAGATAAATGGCAGAAGCTATGGGATAAAAATGTTTGACTATGTCAACTGCTGCATATAAAGAAAAATTGTATAAAATGTTTTTTAGATGGCATTTTGCACTGGCAATATTGGCTAAAATGTATAAAGATAGATCTTCCTAATGCTGGAAATGTAATCAACCATTGGGTTCATACTAGGAGCCGAGGTGGCGCAGTGGTTAGGGTGCAGTACTGCAGGCCACTTTAGCTGACTGTGATCT